CCCCATACAAATCCCCCTGAGTCTCCGCGGTGCGTCCTTAACTGAGCGCTGCCACTTTAGAATGAGGAGAGCGGGTCAGGGGGACCGGTGGGTGGGGATTGAACCCTTTTCACAGAGAGACAGAGAAAAAAAAAAACTAAAAAATCACGTGTCTGGAGATCAAAGGAGATCCGCTTTGTAGAAGAGAAGGGGGGGAGGGGGAGGAGGGTGAGAAAGAGAGAGAGAGATAGAGAGGTAGAGATAGAGAGACTAAGAGAGAGAGAGAGAGAGAGAGAGGGAGGGAGCAGCCAGTGTGATTGACAAGAGTCGCAGTGGTGAAATAAACACGCTTCGGTCCGGGCGCAGCTTTTATCGCGCAATTCCGACTCTTTCTCCCTTTTTCGTTATTTTTGACGCATCGCCCGCAGCGCGCGCAGCCCCGACTCCGCTTCGCCCTCCCGCGACAACAATTCGTCCGCGTGAAATTATGACCCGATCGGCGCAGAACCAGCCGGCAAGATGATGGTTTCACCGGGGAGAGGCTCGCACCGCGTCCTGCCCGACCCGGTGCTCCTGCTGATCCTGGCGGTGGTCGCCGCCGCGCGCCTCGGTCCCGTCTCCGCCAAGGACACCGCCTTCGTGGAAGTGGTCCTGTTCGAGTCCAGCCCCAATGGAGATTACACCACGTACACGACCGGCTTGCAGGGACGGTTCTCCAAGGCTGGAGCCACGATCAGCGCGGAGGGGGAGATCGTTCAAGTACGTGGAAGTCTTTTATTTCGAAGGGTGGTGGTGATGGTGGGGGGGCTGACAGGCTGCAGGGTCCCGGGCAACGCTGCCTGGACCCGGGGTGTAATTTCACCAAGCTACCCCTGCGTAAAACTTTTTCCACGGGGGCTCTGGTGTGTGTGCATGTAGTGTGTGTGTGTGTGTGTGTGTGTGTGTGTGTGAGGATGGTACCGAGCATGCAGCCTATGCGGTCACAAGATGGCTCCTATCTTGTGGAATTCATTCACAGTGAAAACATGCTCTTGCAGGTTAGTGTGTTGATGTGTGCAGCTCAGCTCCAGCTCTTCTCTCTGTTAATCGACTTTAAGCTCCTCCTTTAAAAACAAACACGCAAACAAACAAACAAACAAACTAAATACTAAGTTACTTCCACCGCGTCCTTAAAAAAGTTTGCAAACTTTTCCCGAGCAGGCGTCCAGGCTGCAGGCCACCGTCTCCGGGCTCGGGTCGGTCAGATCCCACGCTTCTATGGCGACTTTTTTTTGGTGCATTAACGAGCTTTTAAATCCAGAAAAGATTTGTTTTAATGGTGGAAAATGTTTGTTTTGTTGACCTGAGCAGCGTAAACTAAACCAGAGCCTGTTAACTGTGCTACTGCTGGTTTGTGATGTTGCATGTTTTGACTTTAAAGTTGAACATTCTGCTCTTTTTTTAAATAAATATAAAAACTGAACGAGCAGTCATCTTGGAGGCGACCCCCCCCCCCTCCTCCACCACCCTCCATGTTTTATCTCCTGCCCCCTCCAAACATGACAAGTGCACTGGACTGGAGCTGCTCACACAACCATTGGATTGAGTCACTCAAATATTCAGCTTTTCTCCAGAGCCAAGTGTTTATTTGAAGTTTTATAATTCTTGCTTAATCTACTTGGCCGCTGCTTGTGAGGCTGCAAAGAGAAAAATCATGTGCCAGAGATTGAACCGTTTCTTTCCTGACCTGTGACTCACTCTGTGTGATTTGAAGTGTGTGATTGAGGGACAATGAATGTAGAGAATGTGTTTGTATGGTGCTCTTGCTTATATTTGGACTTATGTGGAAGTAGTTTTGAAACTGAAGGTGGTTGGTTGGGGTGAAGCGTTTAATCGCCAGGAGATGAAAGTTGAGTTGTCGGTGTGAGAACAAAGCCGAAGACAAGATGATAGTTGTTTGTTTTTTTCTTTCGTTACACTTTCTGTAAAGTGTGATCTCACACTGAGGAAACTGTCGAACATCATGAGAGTGCTGGTTCGTGGTGGGAGGACAGGTTTCAGTGAGGGGCAGGGTTGAGGGGGTGGGGGGTGTTTACAAGCTACAAATAAATGTTTGAGTTTGTAGGAAATCAACTTTGCTGTAGCACTTAAGAGGCGTTATGTGCAGCGTGTAAAGATGGTGACTCATTTGCACATTTGTATTTTCTGACTTTACAGAGAAAGTAGCATCCCCCGGCACTTTGCAACAATGGCCGCATTAGCTGCATTTTTTTCCGTAAACAACTGCATTTTTTTAACTTAAAATCTCTTACTTTGAAAGAAAAATGATTCGTGGGGATCAAATTAGGGGACACTCAGCACAAAAATGGCCCCTGTTTATACACAGCGATGGCCATTTGGCGCCACTTGGTAACCACACAGAAATGTCGGACCTCAGCTTTACATCGAAAACCACATCTATTTAGGTTTACTTTCTTTGCTAGCATAGCTTCTGACCACTTAGAGGCAGCTTATATTTTGTCAGGCTATAATGAGGGGCAGTTTGTCCAGCACAGCGTGCTATCTTGAATTTCTTACAGCGTATATTCGAGCAAAGATTTATGAAAGCTGAAACTGACAACAAACATAAACTATACAACCTGAAGAGTATAATTTTAATCTGGTATCAAATTCCCCACTTGCAAATTCTATACTTGTGAAATAACATTGCAGTAACGTGTTGGGAAATTGCTGCGGTGTTGTAACGGATATAGTTTTACTCTGGATTTGGGTTTAAGATGAATATTTAGGTCCTGGTGCGTCGGGTTGTCCGCAGTGACCTCTGCAAGCATTGCACTTGTTTCTGCTCTAAAGCTTTGAGCTCAGTGAATAGGGCACTTGATTTGGTCTGTCTGAGGTTTATGGGGCCTTCTGGTTCTCACTTCTGCTGTTTGGACAGAGCCCTGAGGGGTTTGCGTTACCATGTGTGTACAGTAGTGACCAGACCTCAGCAGGTACAGGTTCAAATACAGGGGAAACGGGGGGCCTGGCAGTGTTCCTGAGCAAAGACCTAACCGCAATCACTGCTCATAACACTTCCAGCTCGCTTTTGCTAATTCCCCAAAGCTAACACCCGCTCAGCTCTGCCTGAAGAGTGCAAAAAGTGGCACATGCTGTCGGGCCAAAAATAATAAATTAAGTTAATTTGCTTCTCGCTCTGCTGTAAGGGGGGCATGACGATGAAGATCTGGCCACTGTGCCAAACCCAAACCTTCCCAAGCCAGTTCTCCGATTGCTCCAGTTTGACTTTGTAATAGCAGAGCAATCAATGTGTCCTTAAATCAATCTGTCAACAAATAAGGTGGAGTGTGCATAAAGAGACATTTCCCTAAGACGACTTACAGCGTGTATTTATAGCAGCGGCTGTTGTTTGCTTCTTGGCGGTCAGAGGACTGCAGGTTGACTGTCCTGACGGGTTCTTAATTGTATTCACCTATTGCTCCAGATTGAAATACTTACTGAGTAGACTGTGATAATGAAAATCTCATGGTAAAATGAAAAGGCCCAGATAAGTGATAAAACTCCTGGAGCATCTCCAGTGAACGAGTCGATGCTTTGTTTTCATATTTCGAAATGTGTAAAAGCTGATGGTAGTTCCGCATTACCTCCCCACACTTAGCAGCAGGTTAGACTTGCGTTAAGCTTGTTAGCCAGGGCAACAGTGGCATGACCACATCATCCCCTGATCGAGTCGCTCAGGTGTAAACACGGACACCAGCTTTGGCATTGGTTGACGAGCTGATACTTAACAGAGTGAAAGCTCTCTACCTCCAGTTGAACTGATAATCTCATTTCACAAATGGCCTAATTGGTCAGTCAGCTCAGTCAGACCACTCGTCAACTTATTTTTTTTTTCACATTCACATCATTGTTGACAATGCTCACAAAAGCTCGCCAGATCAGAACGCAAATGATGTGAAGGGGAAACGCCATCTGCTGTTCATCATTCTCCATTATCTCTCCGATGCCAAATCGTCTTTCCTGAAGCGAGATGAGCTGTGATGCACCGCATGACCGCACATCTGCATCTGATTTCCAGCGGGCCCACGCTGTCAGCATGTGAGTGAGGAGCGGAGGCAGGGACGTGGCAGGGGCACCGAGAGGACCAGATGGAACTCATAGCGTAGTCGGCCAGAACCAGAGGGAATAATGTGGCTTTTACCTACTTCCGCTGTAGAGACACAGAGCATCCCCTGAATCCAGCATCAGGAAGAAGACACTATAACAGAGCCCATGAGCTGTTTCACCTCTGAACTGAATCTCCATGTGCATGAAATTCCAGTAACCGTAGAAGGGAGACTTCATGGTGTGGTTGTTCGAGGAGCTGTTTTTTTTCTGACTGGATGTGCAGGGGGAAAGTGGTGGTTTTGAGCTAAGACAACGATGAGCTTAAATACTGGAGCTCCTACCTTGGAGTTGGCAGGAGTTGTGTCGCTCTGCATTTAGACTATAATGAGAGCTTTAGTGGTTTAAGGCATCCAGCGCGCTTTCTCACCACAGGCTGGAAACCCCAAGAGGCCATAATGGGCTGGTCCCAGACGGGAGGTGCCAGGGACTGGGCCACTCCCAGCGCCAAAGCAACAGTAGCAGTACACAAATGCTGGTTTAAAAGGTTAAAAGTGCTGCTCCCTACTTCTTTCCATTTATTGGCTTGGCGGTTGCAGCTGTATTTTAAGTGCTATCGTCTCTTAACCGCCACCCTGTTTCACTTTCATGTCCAAGCCAAAGTAATTTGAGGCTACGTTTCTCCCCTTTTTGGAATAGAACAGACTAAACTGTTTTTCTCTTTCTCTTGCTTAACACCCCCCTCCCACACACATACTGTCACCCCCCACCACCAGTCTGCTGTTTTTGAAGCATCCAAAATTTGTCATGCCTGCTTTACTGCACGAAAATGACTTCAAATGATGATTACACTATTTCTAAAAGAACATGCACTGATGAATTGTCACTGTGCTCCCTGGCAAACTGTTGCGCATTGTTCTCCCTTTAGGTCTCGTAATTTCTTTGTCAATCTGCTGATAAAGGGATGAAATGTCCACAAACTCCATTGAGGGTTGTGATTTCTTTATTGATTAATCTTGTGTGTGTGTGTGTGTGTGTTTCCCTGTTAATCTTTAGGCCCAGAATAGTAAAAAAAAGACACATTTCAGGTGTTCAAATTTCCTTTTTGTTTAAACTCAAAATGCAGTGATGACAAAAATAGCTCAATATCAATATCTGTCATTCTTACTTGCAATGATGATAGATTTCTGTTCATGGACTGATCAATTATTTTTACCGTCAATAGTTATTGACAGTGTGACAGCAGATATGTGAAAACCTGAAAATAGAAATCTATAACTATAACTTAGGATTCTATTTTTAGCCATTCTCTAAAAAGCACTGATTGCCTTCAGTGAGCATTCAGGTGCAAGTTAATTTTAAAGCACCTAACTTGCTTTTCAATCACTTGGTTCTTGTCCAGACTTCTTTTAATTGGCCAACTCTGTCTTCTGAACCAGCAGCCCCTGTTTCCTCTCCTGCCCCTGGCTCTTTTACGCTTGTCTCCCCTTGTGTGTTTCGCCCCTCATTCCTACTTGCTGCACAGCTCCACCTGGAACAAGTGCATGTTGGTACTGGTGGCCCCAGTAGCTATGTTAGTTTCCACTGGGCTGAGTGGCTGAGCTGATCTTTGATGTTCAACTCTGAGAGATTAGCAGTCAGCGCTGGTGCTCCGAGCTGCTGTCTCTTCAGTATGC